ACTAGTATTTTTTGGAAATGAGCAGACTGCCAGCCTCTTTTATTTATTTATTTTTACTCTAGAATGTCAGTATTGGCTGCATTTTCCTTAAATAAGATCTAGATGAATGAAGTAGGCTAAAACAGACCTTGGTTCTTTTGTGCTTACTTTCCATAGAAGGTTTGTCTCTGAAAAAAATGCACCAGATCAGACAAATCTGACCAGGACAATGATTGATGAATATGAATGGTGAGGAAGAGAGGCAGGATATATGTGTTACTTTTCATTTTAAAACAAACTTGTGCTCTGAAGTGTACAATAATTTGCAAGCAAAAAAGGACATCTTCATTTTCTAAATGGGCCCTTTTTAAATGATAGGCAATAATGGGAGGATAAGTCCATTATTCATTTATAAGGGAATTAGCATAACAAAGCTGCTTAATGCGAGAGTTCAGAAAGCTCTGATTAATAAATTAATCCTTACATTTTATAATAGATCTCATTTTTGAATAATTCTTATAAGAAAATCTTTTAATAACTTTAGTGTTTTTCAGCTCAGAACATTAACTGTTGCTAGGCTAGTACATAGGAAACTAAATGTCCAATAGCCATCGACACCAATAAGATGTACGGTGCTTCTAGGAAGGAAGCAAAAATCTGGTTGGTGTTGTACAAGGAAAAAGGGGAAAGAGTTAGCCAGAGCTGGTTTGCAGTCTGATCTTTACAAACTATGCCATGTTGAATTTAGTGGGGCTAATTTCTACATGGGCAACCTTTTCCTTTTTCCTAAGGGATAAAGAGGCAAAGCTGTTAATGCAGTTCCCTTGAAACAACTCTGATCTTGCAACAACTCTCTTGAGAGCAGCTATTGCTGTAGGAACTACAGCACAGGTCTTTGCAAACAAATAATAATAATAATAATAACTATAATGGCTGAGAACTGAATGGGAGTCGGACCTCTAGTATCATCCCATTTTCTCTTCAGGGCAGATTTCAAGGTTATATAGTGCCAATCAGTAAAGCAGAAAACCCTGAGTTTCACTGGAATTCCTTATTAATAAATCTGCAAAGATTTAGTCTGAACTATGTAGACACAAATAGTTTCCTTGATTCTAGTCTCATATCTTAATGATTATACCACACTGGTTCTTTGTTTGTACTGCCTCACTTTGATTCTGAAATTAATTACTTGCATCATAAATGCAAAAGATTAAAGAATCAAGGTAATCAGCTAAAGGCATCCACAAGTGTGTGTGTGTGTGTGTGTGTGTGTGTGTGTGTGTACAGAATGACAAAAGGAGCATTCCAGTGTACAATAAGTAACACTCCTTTTGTAAGTGCATATTATGTGTGGTATGGTAATCTGCAATTAGAGTCACAGTTTAAGACAGGTGGAAATTTAATAATCAAGTCTTCACCAAGGATCTAAGAACTATTAAGGTAGCATCTTTGAATATAGACAGAATATAGATACTTTCTGGTAATGTGCTTTCCATAGGCATTCCTGCTTCAAAGTCTATCCAGCAACAATCAGAAATGAATGTGTGATGCTTTCAGTCCTCCTATGTATAGGAGATCAGGGTAGAAATGCATCTCTACTAACTAATGTGAAATTTACCAAGTGAAAGCTGAATAGCTTCCTAGGGATGCTGAAGAACTTCATTTGGCTGATAATAATAATAAACAGTACATGCTAATTTCCATTTTAAGACTAACAAACTTGGAATATAGATCCTTTTTGGAGTATGGGCTTATGGTTCCTTTCTTGGCTCAAAAAAACCCAGACATATATATTACAAAAGGGGCTTGTGCATTGGGTGTTCATACATATATCCTTGCAAAACAAAGGAAATTGAATATAGTGGATTTATTACTAAATAAATGAAACATTGACATTGTTTGGATGCTAAGTGATCTGTACAGTCATTGAGTTTTATGAGTTGTATAAATATAAAGCATTTTACCTGCAAGGAGCTTGTCAGACTAAATAATAAGTTTAAAGAGATCCTCAGTGCAACCCATAAAAGCCCATTTAAATTAATTTGCCAGATTAACATCAAGCAAATCAAATCTGGGAGTGCTAGGACTTGGGATATAAGATGACTTGCTTCCCTTTGGAAAAAAGAAAATGGTCTCCCTGCCCTCTATTTTTAGTGTAAAATAAATAAATAAATCCTGAAATAAGGTGTTTAGTCCAGTCCAACTTTAATCCAGTCCTAGTCAGAACCTTATTGTTCCCAGATGACCATATATGTCTCTTAAGGTCCATCTTCTTCACAGGTTCAGCTGCATTTTTCTTATCTTGGAATTTAGGAAAGAGAAAAAAATGGAGGGAGGAAGATACTTAGGTAATTTGTGCATGATACTTTGAGTTTCTAGGTTCCACATGAATACTTAGGTAATTTGTGCATGATACTTTGAGTTTCTAGGTTCCACATGAAAATAGCTGTATCTATCCTGATGGACAATATAACTCTGTTCTTGTTTCTTCTCCTTCTGCTTAAAATTTGTATTTTATTTTTATATATCGTATTTTTGTATTCTTAATTACATTTTGTGTTCAGCCATCCTGGAGATTGTTCTGTTAAAAGGCAATAAAAATAGCCTTGAAATAAAAAAAAAAAATGTATGTTACAGAATTTTCAGGAGTTGGATATGATTGGACACATCCTAAATTATGTTGCTAATCTGTGCTATTTTTATTCTTGAACTTTTCTTATTATGCTTTCTCTTGCATTTCCCCCCTGGCTGAAACACAATAAAAGAATAGATAAATTAAACCTTTTCATCTACAATACCTCCTCTGCATAGGACACATGTTTTCACTGTGGATTCTGTAAGTGGACACCATTTATGTATAATTTTTCTTATAGACCTTCAGGAAAATTGGGAATGCAGCAATGCCAGTGGTTTCAAATACCAATACACTTGAAGTTTGAACTAGTATCATGCAAAAAACCTTTTCTATAATGCTTTTGTATCCTATCTTATTCAGTTTCATAAAAGACAGTTTACTTCCAAATCCTCAAGGAGAGGAGAGGAGAGGAAGGGAGGGGAGAGGAGAGGAGAGTGGGAGAGAAGGGGAGGGGAAGGGAGGGGAGGGGAGGGGAGAGGAGAGGGTGCCTTTGCTATTAATTAGAAAATGTCCAATGGTGAATATTGATTTCCTGTATTTTATTACAAAAGTCTTCTCAATCATCTGCAATCTCTTATTATTCATGCTTCAATTAAATCTCAGAGAAAACATTGTGAAGGCCTCCTTACTATTGTGCTTTTTCAGATTGAGAAGTATGAGCAGCAATAGAATATAAAGAGATATAAAACAACAAACATATCTTCAGTAGACTAATCTACCATTTCCACACCACATAGTATTCAAAACAAATTCTTAAACACCCTGGGAATAAAATAAACAAATATTAATCTCTTTTGAAAAAGATTTTGGTGTAACATTGTTTTGAACAGTGGTTCTTTTGAGGTCACCGTATACATCAGAAGCTCAGCAGTGTAGAAGACATATACTTCTAGGAAGTTTTTATAACATTTTTGCCACAGAAACCTGCAGAAAATGAGAAATGGAGAGACCTTCACACTACAGTTTAAAATATTTGTGTAACAGCTTCAACTAATACTTAATTCAAGTAAGAGCATAATGTATGCAAATATTCATATTTTGGAAATAAAAAGCCAAAGAAAGTCGCTTACAATTGAGCCCAAAATTTCTCTTCCTAAGCAAGACATTTGTTACATGAGTTTTACCCATTTTATGACCATACTTGCCATAGTTGTTAAATAAATCACTAACATGACTGTTAAAATAATCTGGTTTACCCATTGACTTTGCTTCTCAGAAGGTTGCAAAAGGTGATCAAATGACCTGAGACACTACAACCATCATGTCAGTTTGTCCCAAAGGAGCTTTTTTCAAGAGGCAACTGGACTTCCTTGTTTTTCTTTGAAAATGTTTTGCTTCTCATCCAAAAAGCTTCTTCAGCTCTGATTGACTGGATGGTGGGGAATGGAAGGATTTATGCTCCATGCAGACAGCTGGTCATTTGCATTCTTTTAGAGAGTTGTTGAGGTTAAAGGTGAAAAAAGCACCTTTGGGACAACCATGACCTGGATGACTGAGAATCTCCATAGATGATGAGTCAGTTTCCAAGCATCTGAATTTTGATCACATGACCATAGGGATGCTGCAATGGTTGTAAAAATCGTCAAAAATCATCTTTTTCATTGCTATTGTAACTTTGGTCACTAAATAAATTGTTGTAAGTCAAAAACTACCTGCAAAAAACAACTTTAACTACAAAAGATAATTTATTCGCCAGGATTCTTCAAATCACTATACACAATTGCAATTCAATGGACTACCTCTTAAACTGGTCCATCCATTCTTGGTATCTATATCATATTAATTTAAAAAGTATTATTTTCTGTATAATCTTAACATGAAATACAGTATGAAATCATTTTTTGTTTTTTCTTATTATCACTAACTTAATCTGTTTCCTTTATAAGGGTTCAAGTTTTTCTTCTTTTTCCCACTGAGAGCCCATTTCAAAGGCTTTGGCCCTGAAATTGTGGATGCAATCCACAATTTCAGAAAAAACTTTGCATCTTCCACATTTGTTAGGAGGAAGCAGCACTGAAATTGAAAGATACAAATAATATTTGAATTGTTGCAATTGTCTTCATAGTTGAAATCTCAACTATATTGACCCATAACCAAAGAAAAAATATGTCTCTGCTTACATGCCCTTGATATTAACATTTTTTATTAATCGTGATGAACATATCTCATTGATTGACACATATATAATACAGGAAAGGAAATTGGATTGTTCTGCATTTTTATGAGAACACCTTATACCATGCTCTGATGAGTAGGGTTGGAATTTATATAGCTACTATGTTTTGTACTTCTCCAAGTTGCCAGCAAAGGCATATCAAAATATATATTTAAACAACATATTAAAAAATACCTAAATTATAATGTAAAATAATGAAGTCTCCTTTGAGCCAAGCTCAATTCCTAAGGCCTTCATATGTACACCCATTTAATACTTTAAGTAACAGGAAAAATATTGTTGTCATTTTTTTTTTCCAACTTCACAGCCTATTTTATAGATCCAGCATTTCTTGATAATCCCTCACCTAGTTACTGAACAGGTACCCTTTTTCTATCTACCTTTTCAAGTTAGTGCTGTCACCTAGCATTGTCTGCTCTACGCATTTTCAAATGGAATGTATAATTAACTTTGCAGTTTGAATGAAAAGGGGGAAAAAATAAAAAATCAGGAAAATGTATGAAAGGGTTACAAACTGGAAATACAGATCTATCCACTTTCACATCCCTAATCTGTGTATACAAAGAGCTTCTATTATGAAGGAAGAAAATGAAATAGTTAAATGGTGAAGGAAGAAAACACTTAACCTTTTCACTGCCATAGTCTTCCACAAAGCCATCTTTGGTAGACCAAAGATGTTTTGTAGGCTGTAGCCTATAGCAAACAGGTGAAATCTGGCTGTATCCTCAGATACTCACAGAGTGTGAGTGTGAGTGTAAGTAAGAGAGAAGGAGAAAGAGAAAGTTAAGATGGCAACTGCGTTTCTGAAGGAAGTATGATGAATTTAAGACAGCTGTGGAAAAGTAGACCTGTCAACTACAGCAAGGACAAGTAACCAATGTGTCTATTGATAAGGGATGGGACATAGGATGAAGAAATAATTGTTTGTAACCTTTGTCATTGAATTTTTATTCTTTTTTCCCTCTTCTCTTTTTTAGTTTGTGTTATATTTTATAATCAAAATACTTATATAGCAACATCTATAAATATGGCAACCACAACCATGTGATCAAAGCCCTGAACATTTTTGCATGTCTCTTAATTTTCTTTTGACTTCCTCCCTCTGCACATGCCTGGTGCAATGTGCTTTATTCCACTCCTTGTACAGGTAGTCCTCAACTTACGACCACAATGAGCCCAAAATTTCTGTTGCTAAGCAAGACATTTGTTCAGTGAATTTTCCTCCCATTTTACGACCTTTCTTGCCACAGTTGTTAAGTGAATCACTGCAGTTGTTAAATTAGTAACACGGTTGTTTAATGAAGCTGGCTTCCCCATTGACTTTGTTTGTCAGAGGGTCACAAAAAAGTGATCCCATGGCACTGCAACCATCATGAATACATGTCTGTTGCCAAGCATCTGAATTTTGATCATGTGACTTTGAGGATGCTGCAGCAGTCATAAGTGTGAAAAAGAGTCTTGTCACTTTTTTAGTGCTGTTGTAACTTGAATGATCGCTAAACAAACTCTTGTAAGTTGAAGTCTACCTGTAAACTTCCTCCTGAACTTGTTTTCCCATCAGTACCTACTCACATTTTTCCCACTTCCTTCTTCTTCCTTGAATAAATCCTCAACCTTTTATGGCACAGCTTATTTTCCACAAAGAAGAAGGGGATGACAGAGAATGAGGTGGCTGGCTGGAGTCACCAAAGCAGTAGGTGTGAGCTCAATGGACTCCAGAGGGTAGAGGACAGGAAGGCCTGGAGGAATGTTGTCCATGGGGTCATGATGGGTCGGACACAACTTCACAACTAACAACAAATGTCCTTAATCTTGTCTTTCTGCCTGGCACTACTCTTCCCTTTACTAGCCATAGCTTCTCCTTATCCCCAACATTCTTGGTCTTTTCTGATGGTCTGCAGCTTCTTTTCCAGTTTAAAATTTGAAGTGTGTACTTGTAAGAAGCATTGTGCATTTTAAATTCCGTATTTCTGAGAAGAAAGAAGGAAGCACTTTAGCAATTTAGAACAATGATATTATAGGATATGAATCAAGTAAAGAAAAGCCTTTCTACATTCAAATACTTTTTCTAAAATCTTTTATTTCCCCTCCCCTTTGAAAGACATCTGAGTTTTGTGTCTATAAACCAGCAGTGAAATCCTACCGGTTCGCACTGGTTCAGGAGAACCGGTAGTGATAAAAACTACCAGTTCGGGTGAACTGGTAGTAAAAAAACCCTACCGGTACCTCCAAACTGGTATTTCCAATGATCAGCTGTGCCACACAATTTAAAATAGCTAGAAAGCAGCTAATGAATCTAAATCGCATGGCACAGCTGTTCCTCCCCCTTGCAGTTATACTTACCTTCCCAAGCCTCCTTTTTCTACATGTTTAGCGCATAATGTGCATGTGCATGTGCAGCGTGCATTTTGTGTGCACTGTGCATGCATGTGTGCAGCATATGTTTTATGTGCACCGTGCATGTGTGCAAAGCATGCATTTGGTGTGCACTACACGTGCACAGCCAGCAAACCAGTGGCAAATTTCACCACTGCTATAAATCTATGTGTGCTTCCAATTTATTCCTCTCTAATATTTCTTAATTTTATTTTATTTATTTTTCTCCCCAAATCTAAATTGGATTTGAATAGGTACAAAGGGAATATACATGTAACTGAAGTGTGATTGAATGTACAAAAAGTATATATGAAATATGCATGATATTATATTGTAATATACACAAAAGAAAAAGTGCTAGAAAAGTATGTACCAGACAAGTCGCAACAAGTCTAATGTTTTTAAATTGTATCTTTAATAAAATTAATAAAAAAATTTAAAAAATCTATGTGTGCTAAGTGTGTCTATATAATGCATATGTTTCTCAATTATCCAGTAATAAGTAACCACTGAAATCTGTTGAAATGTATTATTTAGATCTGTTGCTTTGCATTCAAGAAAACTACCAAAAATGATGATCTTTGTAGGAGTAGACTCCTACAACCAGCAACCTTCCACATATTTGCAAGGATTTTCCCCAGACTGACTATCTGGCTGGAAATTCTGAAAGATGGAGTCTCACTACATCTGGAGGTCTGTCATGAAAAAGAACCAGAGAGCAAAGAAGCACTCTACTAATATGGTTAGGCGTTCAAACAGGTTTTACAGACTAAATATAAACTCAGAAAGCTACCTTGTATGAATCACTTTTGTTATTTGCATCAGCAATAGATTAGAATTAACCATTCTTCATCTTGACACAGTGCCTAATATATATCAGAAATACCCAGGACAGTCAATGTAGAATCTTATAGACCATTTTTGACATTCTATCTTTGATGTTAAGCATAGCTGACCAAAGTTCCAAACAAAATTTCTGAACTTTCTCTTGACTGTTCTCTTAGAAGAAGCTTGTATTTGCCTATTGCAATTTTTTTTACTGATGTGGGTATGGCCAGTGAAATGTTATATCTACAACCTTCTGATATTTTTCATCTGCTTCCTCATCAGAAAAAAAGAAAAAGAAAAATCATTAAAAGGAAAAAGAATACCGGTAAGTACATGTCTTTTGATTGGCAATTAAAAACCATTCATCTGGATGCATCCTGAGCCTTTGGTGGATTGTTATCATTGTTGTTATTTTGTGATTCAGAGTTCAGAGTTTCACTCCTACTGGTTCTTAAAAAGAAAGAAAATAATTATTTTAATTAAATTTAATTCAAAAACTATTTCTAGTTCAATTCATATAGCAAGAAAAAAAAAGGTTGTTTTTCATTTACTTAATTAAAACATGTCTAAACTACTTTTTTCTTTAAAAAAAAAATCTTTAGGTGATGAATAATATAAAATACAAAACATACCAAAAGAAGTATGAAAAAGAAAAAAAGAAGATCAATGCTTGGAATGCACTACCTGACTTTGTGGTTTCATCCCCACACCTCCAAAATTTAAACTAAGACTGTCTACTGTTGACGTCACCCCATTCCTAAGAGGTCTGTAAGGGGTGTGCATAAGAGCACCAGCATGTCTACTGTCCCTGTCCTAATGTTTCCTCTATTTGTATCTATTTTATGTATCCAATCCATGTTTATACTTATTGCCTAAGACGTTCTTGACAAACAAACAAACAAACAAATAACATATATCAATACAACAAATACCAAATCCAACATCAAACATCAGGGAAAGCTTGAGCAAAGAGTTGTGTCTTCAAAGGATGTCAAAACCACAGAAGGTGCTTAACACAGAGCTGAGAGAAGAGAGTAACAGAGGACAGGGACAATAATATATTGTTTTCTGATCATAGTATTCTGATTGACAGTTCTGCTTTAACATTTTGAATTTCAATGTTATTTCCTCATTTTTATTTTTTATGATGATGATGATGATGATGATGATGAACTGGTTAAAAGAATACCTGACCTTTTCTACAGGATTGTTTGTTCGTTTGTTTGTTAAAGTTCTCATATATTTCCTACATAAGTTTAAGACTTAAATATTCTTCCTTCATCTCTACAGATCTAATTGGACTTATCCATTGGTTAGCTATTTAATATGAAATTACTAAGGGTGGGAAAACAAGAACAAAATGTAGGGGCCTAATAGAATGACACTGATTTGCTGTTCCCACCAAAGATGGGATACAAATTAAAAGCAGTAAAGTATCAGCTGCTGTACATGACATTTCATTTCTGGTAAGCTGGTGAAAAGTAATACATTAGTTGAGGGTAGATACATTAATCTCACCAGCTAATTCTGTGTCCTTTATATCATTTTCATTAGGACCTTGTAAAAATTCTTTGTAAAATGGTAAAAAAAGGGAAAAATACATAAACATGAAATATTAAATCATTTGAAAGTTTCATTAGTTAAAACATAGTTCATTAGGAGTCAGCCTTTTTAATCAAATATTTCATGATCTTATTCTTCCCCATTTGTGATATTTCTGGCATCCTAAAGTATCATTTAAAGCAATCATATATAGAAAGATAAATGCTTAATATATTGTTTATTATCTTCTGCCCTACCCTTCAGGATTCAACCAGTTCACACCACTTCAGCCGAACCAGTTGTTAAATTGCTGGCTGGCCCTGCCCCGCCCCTTCCAGAAGTCCCCAAGCGCCCCGTTTTGGCTCCCAAGAGGCTGTAGGGAGGCCTATTAGGTCCAACATCGGACACGGAGTGTGTGTGTGTGCTCCCCCCCACATGGCCTGTGTTTGCTTCCAGGGGAGTGCAGGAGGCAAAGTGCTGCCTGTCACACCCCCTGCCGGTCATCTGGCCAATCATTAGGGCAGAGAACCTAAAAAGGTTGTTAAATTATTTGAATCCCACCACTGCCTACCTTCAATATATTTGCTCTACCATACAAGATTCTTCTATTCTTTTATCCACACAAACAACCTTGTGAGTCGTAAGTAAGATTCATGGCTGACAGTAATTTCTGCTTTTTCCAGTTCAGAAAAATGTTCAAAGATCAGTAGTTCTTCATCAGTATGGAACTACAACAAATTTTTCAAATCCTGGAACTTTTAGTTTTCATCAATTTTAATTAATGACATTAACGAGGAGGTGGAGAACATTCCTGATGAATTTGAAGTTGAGATAAAATTGGATAGGATCATGATAGCACAGTGCAGAAATATGGATCTGAAAAACAAGTAAGTTTCAGGTTGTTCATGTCTGTGCCTTTGAATGGGCAGGTATGGTTATCTTTCATGATTGAAATATGATCCTAGAAAAGGACCTCATTTATTTAAGGTTTTCACAAGTACCACTTGTGTGCCTCCACTTGCTCCAAATCACATTTTGGTCTTTAAATCCAGGTCTGTGTATAGCCTTAATAGCTAATTTCCCTTGAAGATGTAGAAATAAAATTGAAAGCAATCTCGGCAGTCTGAAAAAACAACAACCCCAGAATGAATATAAATAGTATTTGCTTTGGAAACAAAAATTAGTAGAGGATGGGAAGTAGATAAGATTGGTCAGTGACAAAGCCAAGTAAATGTAAAACAACAATATGATGTGGTTCCAAAAAGATGAATGAATTTTAGGATAGTTAGAATACACAATCTCATCTTTAATGTGGTTTCTTCTTCTTCTTTTGCCTTCCTCCATTCACACAGATAGTTGAACTAGGCTACAGCATAGTGTTGTATAAAATAGTTTAAGCTATAATGTTTTTAATTTGAAATGGCTGCTTTAAATTCAAATATCTATGTCCTGAAAGTTTTGTTTACTTGAGATTGGGCAAAACATGCTCAGGATCCTGAACATGTTAACAGAATATATCAGAATAACAGAGTTGGAAGGGACTTGGAGGTCTAACCAGCTGTGTGGGTATGTAACTCTATACCATTTCAGATTAATGGTTGTCAAATCTCTTCTTTAAAATCTCCAGTGTTGGAGTGCCCACAACTTTTGCTGTGACGTCCTGTGATTGTTGATTGTTGGTTGGTGAGTTCTTATTTGTTTTAAAGAAACTCTTCCAGTATTAGCTAATAAAACAGCAGGAACCACTTTAAGCTCTACTTCTATTGACTGAAGCTATTTGAAGCCAGCTAACATGATACTTGTTCAAATACTGAGAAACATTTGAGATATAAAATCCCCATGTTGCTATATTTTCTTCATTTGCAGGCACTGCAAGTAGACAAAGGCAAGCAGTTAATACCCTTAATTGATTACGTGCCATCAAGTCATTGTTGATATTTAGTAACCACATAGATAGATTTTCTCCATGACAACCTGATCCTATCCTGTTATTTCAGCACTTCCAATGCTTTGTTCATCATTACTATAACTAAACAAGTGTCTATATTTGCCCCTTGCTCCACTGTAAGGATGCTCTACTTACCAGTTTGGCATGTCAGGAATGGATGACATCTCCCTCAGTCCCTCCTTAAGGCTTCTAGAAATGTAAATTCCCCTTGACTTTTGTTTTTGTGCATCAAAAAATACTGGTTTTGACCTTTGCTGATAGAACCAAATTCTTTTGGTTGACCTGCTGCCCTTAATTCCATCTTATTTATCTAGGAGTGTATAGACAGTTCCCAACTCTCATGTTTCTGGGCAGTTTTTACAAAATACATCAGTAGAACATTATAAACACACACACACGCACACACACACACACACACACACGCACACACACACATCCAAAAATTGAATGGTCTCTCCCCCTTCTTCCCAACCTCCAAATCAATTCAAAGAAACAGACCTGGGGTACGGATGGATTTTAAGTATTTTGGGGTCATATGAAGCTTGGTACAGCAATGATCTAGAGATTGGATGTCATGTCAAAGAAGCAAATACCTTATTACCAATAAGAATATGCAAATGTCTTCATATCTAGTGCAAATGCATTGATTCCCATTGGTTATTGCTTGTTCTGGCAGACAGGTGTGCTTTCTCCTCTCCTCCTGTCCTATCTAACAGTTTTGTCACATTTCCTATAGGAAAATAGAAATGTTTTTATGCTTCATACAACTAGCACAGTGGAGATAGGAAATTATTTGGTATATATTTTTCTAATGCTTTTCCTACTATAACTTCAATGGTAGCTGAATGCAGAGTTGCTTGACATCTGCTTCCTTAAGTATTTCTTAATTTGGCTTCATTTCCAGCCACATAGAAAATAAATGGCTAAAGGAAAATAAATACAAAACCAACATGCTTGCTTTGTTCTTTTGTTTGAAAGGGTAATGTTGCGATGACGCTCTTCAGAACATTCCTTTTTTTTTTAGACAACTGATCCAAGGTTCTTAATGCAGAAAAATGTGCATTCTTGCATTAAGTAGAAACCTGTGTCAAGTGTATATTTAGAAATATATTTTGTGTCTCTCTTCATAGGCTTAGCTGAGATGAATCCAGGTATTTGGCTTTTGTTTATTCAGTGCTGCTTTTGTACTACGAAAAGATGCTTTTAAATTATTCCCACCCTTTACTAGGGGAAGTTTACATTATTTGTATTAAAAAATGTAAACACCAGCAATCTTTCTGTTGGGTTATAGGCCCCAATGAACATGTTGCTTAACTATCTTTATGATCCTAAGGTTAAAAAGAAGGGACTCATACCATTTTCCTGCTATTTCCTACAATAGGAAGGGAAGTTGTCCCTGTGGAATATGAAATACATTATGTTCTGAAAGAACACCTGATACTTGTAATGTTCCATCAGCATTTAATAGCCATAATATGTACACCTTTTATTCCTATTATGTAGAACATGTGTCTATGTGCCTTTGAGCACATAGACCCTGCAGTTCTTGCAAGATTATTCACAAGTGGTCTGGCATTGCCTTCCTTTGAGAGCTGAGGCATGATGACTAGTCAAAGTCACCCAGCTTCTTGTCTAAGGCAGAATTGCAATTCAGAATTTCCCGATTTCTAGCCCAGTGACACTTAATTAAATTGACTCTTAAAGAGAATTTCCATCTGAGTAAATTTATATGAGATTGTGTTGTATGACTACTATCTTCAATATCTGTCTTTAAATAAAGGTGAACTAACCTAAAAAACATCGTGCTATTTTCTTGAGAGGGAGACAAAGACCAAATAAATAATAGCTATATGTGTCTACATATGACACCATAACAGATCCAACTGTAATTATTTGCTACATTTATGTACAGATCTATAATAAGGTAATGACAGCTGTTTTGCATTTTCCAAGAAGAAATTTCCTGATATAAGAGTCAGGACTCAGGGACAGATGTTGCAGGGAATGGATCAGGGAATGATTAAAAAGAGCTGGCTGATGCTTTGGTAAATACAGCTGAAGGAAATGTAAGGACCTGAATTGTATCAGGACGAAGACTACTGAAATAGGAGTCACTAAATGACACGAGTTCTGATCTTTGCTGTTCAGTCTCATGGTGCTGAGCCATTTTGATCCACAGCTCCAAACACATTAATCTCATCTCTATGGTAATACCCAAGGGCGATCAGTCAGAACAGTCAAATCAAAATAAAGAGTAAAAATAAATGCAAACAGTGAAACAGCAGTGGAACAGAAAATAGCAACAAGAATCAGTTAAGAAGAAAATAACAGCAAAAATCAATTATTTGTTCAGCAGTGTCCAAACCCAATTCTCAATAGACTGATAGGGACATGACGCCTGAAATCAGCTAGAGATAGTGCCAGGTGAGTTTATATGAGCCACTGTTATAGAGTTACTGCTGAGATGCCTAATTCTGTATCCTACTTCTAAAGCCACTAAGTATCACCCTGCCCCTTACATTTTGGTGGGTTTTATCTACATGTTTTTATATAACTCCATGCTGTTTGTTGGGACATTCTGAGATTTCCTGAAACAGTTTAATGTCTGAGTTCAACAATTCCTTGCTCAATGGTGTAAGAAAGTTCTGATGTTTCAAAACAGTCACGCTTGTTAATTGATTAGGCTCTTGTAATCCATCTTCTCTTTCCTTTCCTTCCATTTCACCCTGATTTAAATCATACATCAATGTAGCCATGTACGCATTGATGAAGTAAGGTACAGTTCACAAAAGTGAACCCCTTTTAATAAAATGTGAAAGTCAGAACAAGTTCTATCAACTCTCTCACTTTTTGTTACCATGTCCATAACACTGCTTTCCAAACTTGGCAATTTAAAATATGTGGACTTTAACGCCCAGAATCCCCCAGCCAGCATGCTTTATTGCCATGTTTGCCAAGTATGAACAACACTGATCTATAGCATTTAACAATACAATCCTATTTTGTAGAATGGCCACTATCACCTTTGGGTGAACTTGGAAAAAGCTTGCAATTCTTCTGTATTATACTTTCAGCACCCAATTTCTCTTTAGAATCTGTTGAATCATATGATATGACTGTCATGCATGCTGCGTAATGCAGGTATTGAGTAGAACTGCACACATTTGTCTTCTTGTTTATGAATACTCAGTATCGCTTTTTCAAATGAAGAAAAAGAGGGGGAAGGAAATTTTTGTCATCCATGCATGATATTAAGGCATCAGTTCTCCAGTTGCGATTGTCATTTTCTAACTGAAGCATATCAGCAGAACGCACAACCCAGATGTCTAGAGAAATCTCTTGTCCCCAAAATGTCTACATTTGACAAAAATTTAAAAAGAAGAAAGGAAAATCGATGACAGTGAAGGTCATGTTGTCTGCTTTACCATCTTTCTCCCTTTGATACACTGAAGATTAAACTTGGAATGCTAACAACTGCTTTCCTTCCTTAGCTAAATTATCTTGTCCTTGTCTCTTTGGCGTGACTTTGGAGAACTCTTAATTGCATGTCTAAGTTCAAGTGTTCCTCTCTCGACTCAGTTGCCATACCTAATCAAAGAATTTCTAGTGCAGTCACAGCAAAACCTTAAACTTGTAAACCTTCCAAAACAAAACAAAAAAGCATACTCAATAACTTTAAATTTCCAGGTTGAGGTAAAACAATGATAAAAATGTGTTATTGTGCCAACTCTCACTGCCAATCCTTTTTCTGTTGCCCTTACTAACCCTAGCACTAACACTAACACTAACCCCAGTTTAGTCTTTCTAAGGCTTCTGGCAACCATTTCAATTTACTTTCCTATGCTTGATACATAATTTCAGAGCACTCCTAACCCTCAGGTTGGTTCAGCTTTATTTATAGGTATCCATAATCCATGGGAGAGTGCACCCCTTTATGTGGCTGCTTGTAAAATAAAAATCCTTTTCAACATTTTTAAGCATTAATAACAAAATGTGTTACTGCTTCCAGTGAAATTAACATTAATTATTTTTATTAGAAGCCACCTCAGATGCTGGCACAGACCATGACACTTTACTGGAATCCATGATTTAAAAAAACAAATTATGAACAGTACATTTTTTAAAAAAAATCCAGAAGCCCCTGGTGACAAATACCTTGCATTCATTTGCCTGAATTTTGGCAAGCTTCATTCCAGCGATTGTCTCTGAAAGTAGGAAGAGCACCAGTGGTGTGATTGTCACTTGGCTAGAGTCTGATCATCCATTGCTTCTTCAGAAGATTAGAGACACTTCAATGGATGTCAAAATCTGACCGAGAGAAGCAGATTGAGACCACTGGTTGCTTGAACAGTGTTGGTGAAACAAAGCTGAGTTTGATGTGACTGAAACTTGATATTCAGACACATAAATGTATCATTCATTTGTCTCTTTCCAAACCAGCCTTCTGCCAACAAATTCCTAAAGTAACATTCTTCATCTTACCATCCATGCAGCAAACGTATCTTGGCTCACTAGAAATCTCACTCATTCTTTCCTAATGACTTCCTATTTCATGCTGAAGCAGCCAGTTGTGAAGCCAATTTTCATAGCTTCAGTGCATCTTGTTGCCCTAAATTGCACTTGTAAAGCTGTGAAATATTTTTAATTGAATCAAGCTCATGAATTATAATATCTACAAAAGGGTGGGAATAAGAGGTTGTTTTCTTTTATAGAAAGAGCAAATTATCTTTCTTATGTGCTAGCCTTTTGAGACCTATTTGACAATGTTGTGTGTTCTTTAGTAGCGCTTTGTAAAAAAAAATTGTTCTAGAAGGTGTTCAATGTGTTATTGCTTAGAAGATTTTAAAAAATGTATATTTAAAAGCCTGCCTTACTGCTACATGGTACAAAATCAGGTTACCAGTCCTCACTACACTAAGCTCTCTGCATATGCTTAGATACCTATCCCCGCTTCTCTCTCTTGCTTTCTATATAATTCTCTATCCCTCTGTTTCTCACTCACTCACACATACATGCGGATATAAAAATATCAAATAAATCTAAAATCCAAAAGGCATTATCAATTCAAAGTGGAAAAGCAGCATAGATTTCAAAATAAAACAAAGATATTAGCAGTATTGGGAAATTTCCAACAATTGCAGAATACACCACTTTTCTTTGTTCTCCATGCTCTTCCTTTGGAGCTTAAACAAATATAAGCATGCTTTACATTTATTGAATGCTGAACTTTTAGTAAGAATAAACAGAAGATCAATAAAATGTAGAAATATGCAAGAAGATATAGTCTGGACCTAAATGGGGTATACCTTTCAGTGCCACTTTGTTACTGATCACACCTGTTTGTTTAGATTTATAAACTAACATATTCCAGATAACTCTGGGTGGCTTTACACAATTAAAGCAACAATAAATATAACTCTAGCAATAAAACAGCATCCAATGCTTCCTCTATTCTTCATTGTCCTCTTATTGTTGAAATTCTATACCTCAACCCACAATAATGGAATTGAATTATAGATGCATTTTCCACTCTTGCCTTTTGAATAAGAGTAGCTGTCATAAATCAACTAGATGGCTGTCACTAGCTGATTTTGGCTGATCTTGAAAAGCTAAGCAGAGTCAGTCCAGATAAGTACTTGACTGGGAAACAACCAGGAAATGCCAGGGCTATAGTCTAGACAGAGAAATTGAAATGGCCAACCGCTTTTATATTCTGACTAAGAAAACTACATAGATGTGATCATTAAGTCCCCAGGATTAAAACTTGTGTCAAAAGAGTCTTTATCATCTATTATAATCTCCAAAGTCTATCTTATAAAACCAAGTGAGCAAGCAATTTCTGAAAAGAAACAATTGATTTTTTGTTAACTATTCATCTCAACGATTAGAAAAAGTTAACCTATTTGACCTTTCAGTTTATGAACTCTTTAAATAGAATTTTATTTTAATCTAAATGAACTTATTTTAGTTTTAATCTACCCTCTTTCCCCCAAAATAAGACCTCCCCTGAAAATAAGCCCAATTGGGCTTTTGAGTGCATGGCAGTAAGGCCAAGCATTTATTTCAGGGTTCAAAAAAATATAAGACAGGGTCTTATTTTCAGGGAAACACGGTAGCCAAAATCAGATTCTCAATCCTTCTTCTTTGCTGCAGTGTATAACAATTTTAAACAAAGAAGCAGACATATATGAAACAAATTGTAATATTTTAGTATACACTACAATATGCCTTGTTTATAATTATATATTTTAGAATATATTCCCACATTGATTTTGTGTGATTGGGACCTTGGAAGGATCTTGCAGTTCATCTGGCTCAACTTTCAGAGTATATAATGTAAATTTAAATGCTGTCATTTTTATATTTTCTTATTTATTTTAGTGTTCAATAAAATTTCATGAGAAGTATATTTTCTTCTGATCCTGATGAGGAATGATGCAATTAAGATTTCATGCGGATACCAACTATAAGGTTTTCTATGGACTATTCAAATAACATTTAAAATAAAAGACTTCATTGTTTCACAGCCATCTCTTCTGAATTCTATTCAGTTTGTAATTTTTTTTCCTTTATAAGAAATAAAATTATACTGTATATTTAAACAGTGTAAAACATATTTTCAGAAAATAGAAAACATTTTTGTTTGTCTTGTATATATTCATAAAACTGACAAGCCATCGATATATCTGTATTGAGTTCCCTATCAAAACTGTTTAATGCATACTAGAAATATGGTTCTTCCTCATACATTTATGGCTGCTTTAATACTTCTTGTCAAGATCACATACACAAAGAAGTGTTTGTGTCATTAATGTACAATTTGTCTTGGACAGCTGACAATTAAATGTCTATAGAATACTACATAACATGTTCTGGCAAAGGCTGTAAAAATCTTTTCTTCGAGTTTAAATATTAAAATGCCTAATGTCATTATACATATATACATGCACACAACATTATAAGACCTACAGCTAATTCATCACTTCATCAACTGTAAGATGTTATATCAATGAGCCAAGGGTTATGTTTCAAAATAAATTAATGTGTGGGAATCTTAAAAGAATATTTAAAGATTTTTTTTAAAAAGTAATCTCTTGTGGCCTGTGTCAGACATCACATATTTTAGTATTCTGCATATGATGAGTAATTGACCTTTGCAGAAGGCTCAACAGATGCCTCCCTTAGCCCCATGTGAATCAGTCCAGAAGCCATTCAAACCGGAAGTTTTAGTTTCCATTAGTTTCATCAGCTCGAAGTTGTGTTTACATTCAAGGACAAACCAATTCAGTCTGAGAAACTCTGAGAATGAGTTAACATATTACAAAAAGGTTTCATCGGTAGGCTGTATTGAAGCAGCATTAAAACTTTCTCCTCCTCAATGAAATCTGATGAAAATAAAATTCTCAGGTATTTCATGAAAAGAATTGTATATCTATTGGGCATGGGGAAGGGAGCGTACAACTTTAAAACATTAATCTTTCCTCACCTTTAAGACAAAGACAGGGGGACAACAGAATATTTTCTTTAGATTTGAGGACCTACTTATACACTACTCAAAAAAATAAAGGGAACACAAGCAGAAGACATCCGAGATCTGAATGAATGAAATAGCCTTATTAAATACTTTGTTCGTTCCATACAGTAGTTTTGTGTTCCCTTTAGTTGTTTGGTTTTCAGCTTGAAAACATAGAAAATGTAGAAGAATGGCTTTCAACTTGACAACGAGCAGGTGAGCTTATATAACCTAATCCATACAGTTGGTTTATCTTGCAAACTTTTTTTTTGTAACATATGCCTGATGCCACAAACAAGTTGAGCTTCATTGCCAATTTGTATCTTTTAAGTGTTTCTCAAGAAATGAGCTGTAAACAAGTTATAGAACTGATGCATGAATTTAATGGCTTGCATTTAAAAAATGTGATTACTTTAGAAACAATTGCCACTTTGATAAATAAGCTGAAATAGTTCACAGTTTTTCCTGCTCTTGACTGACATTCATCTTGAACAGCCTTGACAATACAAAGCTACTCTTAATGATTAACACTGCACTCTATTTGTGTGTCCACTCTGAAGTAAGATTTTGAAGTCAAGTGGGAACTACTTCCATAGAATGATGCAGAAAAGCAGGAATATAACTAAATTTACCATTTTCAGATTTTTTCAGTAGGTGACTGCCTCATTTAATACACAAACACACACACACACACACACACACACACACACACACTTTCTTCCTAGAGGAAGCCCATTTTTCTGTTGGCATCTCTCTCTGGATTTAAAAAAAAATAAACTTTTGAAACTATTGAATATGTGATATTGTTTTAAAATTGACTGCAGATGGTGTTCAAAACAGTTAAGATAGCAGTCATGGCTCTATAATAAAAACCCATCTTTATTGCTCATGGATATAACATCAACACACATGTAAAAGGAGTACGATTTTGATAATGCTGATGCAGCGGCCATTATGGTTTTTAAAAAAATCATTCCTGCAGAACTACTAGTTGCCTTAAAGGTATCTGGAAAAGAATAAAGCAAATATTTTAATTAAAAATAGTCTTACAAGGAATATTATCAGTTCTCCCTATATCTATCTCACAATACATCACAACTGATTATTTTGATGAAAGAGAGATACTGGACAAAACTTCCTTTCTCCTCTATTGTTATTGATACAGCTTGTCCATTAGCCAACTACAGTAAAGAAAATGAGGTCTATGGAGGTTAAGCAAAAGGCATGGAATTTTTCTCCTCTCAAACAAAGGGAAGATGCTTACGAAGAAGGGGGGGTCACCACATGTTTTAAGGGTAATCTTTTAAAACAGTGGTCACCAACTGGTGGTCCATGGACCACAGGTGGTCCGCGATAAAATTTTGGTGGTAAGAAAAATTATTTGCATTTTTTATATTGCATTAAATCAGGGCTCCTCAAACTATGGCCCCTGGGCCGGATATGTGCAATGAATGATTGTGTTGCTGCAGAGAGTCTCCCACTTTGGGGTTATTTTGTGTGGATCGGAGGGGGGCAGAAATTCTGACTTGGGGTCTGCTTCAGCCTCCTGATGTAGGGCTTTGGGCAAAGGCTGGAGGGAAGTGCCGCTGGTGGCAAAGAGTCGGAGGGCCTTGTTCCAGTGGGACTGCATCATGGCCTGAAACTGGCTGACCATCTCAGCCCACTGAGCCTCCAGGCGCCAGTACCTGACCTTGCACTCCTGCAGGTCTTTCCTCTGCTTGGAAAGCCTATGCTCCTATAGTCTTCAATGAGGTGCTTCTGCTGAGCCTCCTCCTAGGTCAGACCCA